AATCCGGTGCGGAGAGCAGAGTCTGCGCCGAGCTCTCGTGGGTCGGAACTCAACCGTCCTCAGCTCTTGGTTCGTCGTTTCGCCGCGCTTTCGTTTCGCGTCCAAGCGAGAAAGCATACGCAACGCTCCAAACATCGAGTAATTCTGCACCAAAGAATACATATACCGCAAGCGCACGGATTACCAGGTGTACGTTCATCACACGCGGTTTCCACGTGCCGCGGCAACGAGAGTCCACGCGCGACCGACGAATCGGAGGGACGAACACCCAGGAAAGGTCAAAAGTTTAGGGGAGATCATCGACGCGTCGAAGCGAGAAAAAGTTCCGAGGGTGAAAAGGCCAGGTGTACGTAGAGCATAGGAACGATAGATGAAACTGAGAAAAGTTTGCGCGTCGCGCACACCGTATCGTATCGATAGACTGTGTCTCTGGAAAACTAGCTCGCAAGATATTCCGCGTCTGATCATGCTTCCCTCGTTCGCTTCGACAGTCTCCGTTATTACTTTCGTCGGACTCGTTCGAACATCAACGCCTATCCGACCGGTCTCCCCTCTCGCGTTTCGGTCGCTGCCGTGTTCGCAGGTAGATCTGGGCAGGTACCGCGAAGGTCAAGTTTTTTTTTCTCCCGTGGCGCCCCTCCTCCTCTTCCTGTTCCTATTCCAGTTCCTCTTCCTCTGCTCCTCTCTCTCTCTCTCTCTCTCTCTTTCTATGCCCCCCTCCCGTTCCATCTCTTTATCCGTCCGTGACCGTTCCCGCGATATGGAAGAATAGTAGAGACGATGGTGGGTCGACTCGTTTCGAGTCGTCTCTTTCCTTCTCGAGAATCCGGTCGATCCTTCTCTCCGGTGGTCGCACCGCGCGTAACACCGTGGACCGGTTTCCAGAGCAGCCGCGGGGGCTAAATGTCAACAACGGCGTAACGGCCCGGTTAGAGGATTACCCCCGGTCTCTGCCCATCGAGGGTAACGCCAGACAAAAGGTCGTGAACTTTCCGCGTGTCATAATCCGTCCGAGAGGGTTCTCGCGGCTTCTCTTCCCTAGGATTCTCTTCCGGTGAACGAGTAGAGCGCGCTTTCGTCGAGAGTCCTCGGAACGTTTTTCCGGGCTATAGTCCGTGTCTCGGGTTGTTTTTCGGCCGAAAATCGATCGGTACTCGAATCGATGATAAATCTTTGTTTCCGTGGAAACGACGACCGAGGTGAGAAAACTAGAGAAGGGATTGGAAGGCGCGATCGAACGCCCACAGAGGGGAAAACAAACGAGACAAAGAAAGGGAAAGGTGAAAGAAAGGGTTCGGGCCCCGATGGTTGGCCGGTTGTCCGGGTCGATGTTGTCGGGTCCGAAGGTTCGACGCCTAAACCGAATACCCTAATGGGATTGGCATCGTTGTCGTTAACATGACAATATAGATCCTAAACGGTCCGCTTATAGGTGTTGCTGTAGGTAGCAACTACGGGGGCACGCACGTCGATTAAATGCGTGTCGCGTTGTCTCGATGCGTACCGGCGATAGGGACGTGGCGTCGCGTCTCCAAATACGAGCCTTGTTATGATAATCTTTGCTCGCGCCCCATCTCTCTGTATGTATATACTGGCGCCTCATCGCCGTATCGCCGTATGGTCTCTCGCCCCCATTATTCATCGAGAAACCGTCTGCTTCCGTTCTTCGCTTTCCGCTTTGTATTCCATAATCGCTTATCTCTCGGGTCTTTTCGGTCTTTAACTCGCGAGAAACAGAATTCTTTAACCGATCGGGTTGAAACGATCCTCGTTTTTACATCACGCATCTACGGGAAACACGATTGTTCGGCGTTGTCCGGATCGTTGTCTCGTCCGTCGTTCAGGAGGAAGTCGGAGGCGCCAACGCGTACATCAAACACGTAATTACCATTTCGAGAAACGTCGAGGAATACTCGAGCGATCCAAGTTCGGTAATTAAGCGTCCCGCCGTGTCGGGAAGAAAACTCCGATCGAACAACGCGAGTTTTATCGTCGCTCTATCGGACGTATCGCGTTCGTTCGTTCGTTTGGAATTTCCTTCGATACGCCAGTCACTCCTCGAACGCGTACACTTACCCTTGCCCTCGAATCGCGAGTCTGTCCCTTATTGCTGGCTCGTCGAAAATTTTCGTCGCAGCGTGGATATCGGATTCGTGTGCTTCGACGACGAAAACTTGTCTCGAGACGAGATCAACCGTTCCGTATTACGCGCGGCTTAGGTTGCGTCCTCTCGCGATAATCCGAGGGTTTCGCGAATCGATAAAACGATTCTGGCCCCGAGCACGAGACGACTCGTGAAACTGTACGACGATTCGTCGACCCGTCGCGTCGCGTTTCGGTTACACGCGCGTACATCCATACATACGTACGTACATTCGTGGAAGGCGGCCGGAGGAGACAAACGACGCGGAGAGGGATCGGCGCTGCTCGACACAAAGCATCCCCCGAACACCCTTTCGAAGTCGGAGGTGACGTCACCGACAATGGAAGGTCGAGCTGTGATTAAAGATCGAGAGACTCCGTAAAAACTCCTTGAAAAGTGTTGGAAGGAAGGAAGGAGGAAGAGGCCGGAGGGGCAAGAGGACGGGCAGAGACCTACCGGCGTGAAATATTGCCTCCGCGGCACCCGACAGCTATATGACGTTTCCGAAGGGCATGAAAGAATCCCCGCCACCGTCTTTCTCCTCTCTTCGTTCGTTCGTTCGTTCTTTCTTTCTTTCTTTCTCTCGCTCCTCTGCTCCTTCACGCCAGGCCATACCGCATCACCCCCATTCCTTTCTTGTCTCTCTTGTCTCGCATCGCCGGACTATCTTACGTTCGTTTCTCCCTGCATGGGCCCAGTCGCGTTGTGACTTTTATCGGATCGAACGACGTACTCTCGTATTCGGTCGAGAACGAGTAATGCAGGTTTAGGGAACTGTACGTTGAAATTGTTCATACACGAATACATCGCGATATATAGATATAGTTGTAGGTACACAACTATTCGAGATAGTATACGCAAGCTGGTCTCGTTTCGAACGTGATTTCCTAGAACGTATTATTTATTTATTTATTTATTTATTTATAAACGGGTTGGCCCCATTGTTTCTATAAGTTGTTTACATAGGTCACATGTCGCAGTATATATAATTAACCTTACAAGTTGCTTAAATGTCTAAACCGCCTCGGAGAGCTTTCTGTACATTTGATTTGAAAAATGAAGTAGAGTTGCCAAAGAAATTTATGGTGTTGGAGAATTTATTAGCCAAGTTTGATAATCTGGTGATAACGTCGGTATGATCAAATCTAGAGGTATATAGTAACGGTGTGAATGTTGGAGGGTGTCTAATCGTTCTCATCGGAGCATTGATGTTAATAATCGCAAGTATATTCGGACAGTATATTTGCCCGTTGAGTATTTTATGAAAATAGGTTAGGTCAAGGACAATCCTTCTATGTTCTAAGGTAGTGATATTAAGTGAGCGCATAATATCAGTATTATGCTAAGTGTGTAAGTATCTACCTACGACTGGTTACCACACCATGGGATACGAAAACTGGGAGACCTCGATCGAGGAGTTCGATGAGGGATCGCGCGATCGGGAATCGTTTCCGCTTCGCCGAGACTTTGAATTTTAAAATCGGTCACTCTACGATGACACGCTGGTCAGCGAGGCGCCAGGGTATTTAGCCGGTTAACGCGCGCGGAACGGGACGAAACGGGACGTAACGACGGAACAGGGTAGGAGAAATCGTGATCGATCGAGTGGCGAAGGGGAAAGAGGAGAGACGAAAGGGGGTCGAGGAGTAGAAACGCCACTCAACGGCATTATTCGAATTGATGCGGTGAATTGGCGCTGACGACATCGGAGAGCCAATCCGACGGTTTGTTTATTGGTCGCGCGTTGGCGGATTCCTTGCGGTTTGCTTTAATTGAACCCCTGAGTCGATGGTAAACGAAACTAATGCATGCTCTCTTCTCCGAACGATCGAACCGGCCAATGAAAAATCCTCGCGTCGACAGCCATCGAGACGAGGACGCAGACGGCATCTATCTATTTAGTTGCGTCGGAGCCGACGCGATAGAAGCTATCGTCGAATTCCTTTGCGGCCGCCACGTGCGCGTAATGGGCCATTACGCGTACGCGTGGAAATAATGCGATTTGCATTCCTAGAAGGGACGTCGAGCTGTCCACGCGGGGTGGACGGGTCTGGAGAGGAAGTTTCGTCGATCGTCTAGAGGACATTATTATTTTTCGAGTATGAACGAACCACGGAATCGGGAGCAGAATAGCCGCGAATTTGAAACCTTTGACAAGATAATTACACGAGAAAATGATAGGAAGATTGAACGAACGATACGTCTCTCGCAGGGAGATGCTGGGATAGTATCTCGGTGGTTATTTCGCGCGTAGCGGGTAACGTCTCGGGCGCGTTGCCGACGAGGAAGCGGGGTGATGGCGCATTATCCTCGACGGGGATGGCAAAACAATGACGAGGAGCAAAACGAAGGAAGGCGGAAGGTTTCGCGCGGAAGGGTGAAATCGAGGGACATCCCGCGTGATTAGTCCGACATTTGCACGGGCAGCGTCTCTCTAGTTGGCACGCATTCCAATGGCTCCCCGAGCAGAAGAGAGCGGAGAGTGGAGGCGAGTGGAGGCGAGTCGAGTTTCATTCGACTGCGTGTCTGCCCGCCCGAGGGCGATTCTCGCAGCAACCACCCCGTCCGTCCCTTAAAATGATCCGGCCTTTTCGCGAACCTTTTCGCGAACCTTGATTACGAATCAAAACCGTCCATCCGGAACACGGGGACGTCTAAATGGGTGATCTATAAATCGTGTTACGTGTACGAAACGTTTTTCAACACCTTTCAGGTTGCCGGAACGACTCGGAGAGACATCGGCGTGTTTCAGTATCGCGTTTATTTTCTCGTCCCAATATCCGTACGTTCCTTTCGGCCGTACGGCTAAAGGGAGAACTATCGAGCCGAGTAACAAACTTTACAATTTTTGTTTCAGATGCGTGTGGCTTGTCGGACGTGGCGCATATCGAGTCCCTTCAGGAGAAGTCGCAGTGCGCTTTGGAGGAGTACTGCAGGACACAATACCCGAATCAACCGACGAGGTTCGGGAAGCTGCTTCTTCGGTTACCGTCGCTGAGGACGGTGTCGTCGCAAGTGATCGAGCAGCTGTTCTTTGTCCGATTGGTCGGGAAAACGCCGATCGAGACGCTGATCAGGGACATGTTATTGAGCGGCAGCAGCTTCAACTGGCCGTACATGTCCACGATGTGACATTCTATTTGGCGACAGCTAGCTTCCGCGTAATACTGTCGCTTCCCGTCTCGTTCCGTGGTCCAACCGAGTTACGGATAGCTTCGATCGTCGAGCGAAAACGTTCGAGGCGTTCGTTCGGAACCGAAATCGAGCGGCAGTACGTTGCACTCTTCCACTTGGTGGTATCGGTATCGGTCGCCCGACCACGCGGAAATATCATTCGCCGGTCGAGATCGCTCCGCGATGCGTCGCGGCCGATGATCGTAATCATCGACGATCCCGCGAATCAATCGTCAAATCCGGGACAAGAACTCACGGCAACTATTTTCTGATTTCGAAGCGAGTGCCTGAACGTGGCCAGGGCAGGGGTCGATGGGAATCGAGCGCGGCCATTAACGACGAGCTAAAGTGTGTATAAAGGGGTCCGAGAGAAAAGTGGGCGGAGGAGACGTTACGCGTGACGGAGGAACAGGCCCGAGAGAAAAGAAGGGCGGGGTGAACGAAAGATGCGCGATAAAGACGTTGCTCGCTCGGACCAAATACCTCTAACCGAGGCGCCAACGATCGGCTTTTCGAACAGAAGGTCCAAAATTTCGTGGCCTCCCGCCGACCTCGTTCCGACAGTCCCATAGTTCCGCGAACCAACCACCCCCGAAGGAACGACGACCGTCTGTACAGTTCGGTCCGCGAATGCTTTCGTATACGCACTACGTATCTGGTATCTATGCGTACTCGGGGCTTTAAGCGCGTCGCGTTTTCTCGCGTGATACGCGATCGAACGACGAGGCGGTAGCAAAAGAAAGGACGAGTGGAGAAAGGAGGAGAGAGAGAGAGGGGGGGACGCGGTGTGGCACTGGAAGGCCCGGCGCGAAGAAATCATAAATTAGCATTTGTAATCGACAGCGGTGGATCTGGTAGATCTTCCGTCGGTAATCTCGCATCGATCTCCGGATCGAGTAATTGCCGTTGGTCGAGTCATGCCGAAACTCTTAGTCATTCGTTTCGACGTCTGGTTCTCCGCCGCGTACGTGCCCGCGTTCCCAAGAATTTCTTTCCTCCTCCCCGCGACTCCCTTTCCGTGAGCCGAGAGTCTTCGAATCGCGCAAACTATTCTCGATGCCTCTTGCTCGCTCGATCCGTCGTCGACGCTTTCGATCAGCGCGCGACTCGTTCCGTTCCTTTCCTGGGAATCGTCTCGACGACGGATCTCGCATCCAATCGCATCGTTCACTCGTGGTGCACGGCAGCACGGCGCGACGCGACGTTACTGGCCACGTAACATCGCCGAATCGTGGGTCGTAGGTGTATTCTCTTTCGACGCGTTCGAGCGTTACGGTCAAAGCTGGAGCTCGCGAACGACTCGGATGAAAGTGCGCTGGATCAACGGCGTAATATTTCTTTCGTACGATTTTCCGCTGTATGTATTGTATTACGTAAACCCAAAAGAAACGATCGAAAAGCCTAAATTCCCGCCGCTGTTTCGCATTCCTCGAGTTCCAAAATCGTCGTCCCTCGGTTGTCTCGTCGAAGATATTCTTGTTTTTCGTTGCAAACGAACGTCTTCTTCGAAATCGAAATTTTTATTACGTACTATTCGAGCGCCACCGATGACCCCGATAGCTGGACAGCTGGAGACGCGAAATTTTCGTCGGACCGTCGCGGAACGAGATGCGAATGCGGCCTGCGAAACTATTGTTTACCGCTCTTTCAGAGACTGTGCATCGTAGGGTGTGCGTACCATTAAGAAACGTAAGCATTAGGTTAATTCGACACGTTGTTCTTGTCCGTTATTTATTGAAGAAATATTTTCCTTTGTTTTCCGTGGCGAACGTCGCGTCGGTACGAGATTCAGGAGTATCTCGATGGTAAACTCCTGACTCGAACGTTGACGTAGCGGTTTGTTTAAACGTCGATACCCTATCGGTCACCGAGACGTTAGAGAATGATTTTGATATTATTGGAAGCCGATGGAATCGACGATTTCTACACCGGTCGAGTGAACGTTGTTGCCTCTCTCGAAGCGCGTTTCGAAGCGCGTCGTCGTCGGTTTCTTCCTCGCGAAAACGCGTGGTCTTGGAAATTCGCGAATAGAGACGACGCGAAATCGCGTTGCTCCGAACTTTCGAAACTATCGTCGTCGACGGTTTCGTTCGCTCGCCTCTATGGAAACTTATCGGGTTTCCATCGCTCGATCTCGACACGCATACACGATCTATTTAGCGTTCGATAGCGAATCGTTTAAAATAACAAAAAAAAAAAACTCCTCGATCGGAGGCAAGCGCTCGATAAGCTGTCGGAGACGGCGCGACGGCGCGCCGGGAAACATATAGGTATATTTTTCTTTTGGGAATTTAGCGATAAGTACGAAGCGAATGATCGCAGCTCGTCGCACGGTCTCCGAAAAATCTGTTTCACGTGAATGCGGTTCGGAGGTACAGGATGTCGAGGAAACTCGGCAAACGCAATGTGATATATAAATAAATACATACGTATGTATAGGGTATGTACGTGTACACGTAGGTACGCGCGTACGTACATAAGTACGTGTACGAGAAAATTAAAATCCGGTTTTTCGAGACGGTGCTTTTTCTACTCTATAAATACTGTACAATATACCTGCAGACGGGTGCGTTGTATAGGGTTGTACGAGAAAAAGGACGGCGGATCGTCGATGAGAAAGAAAATACGTTTGAATACTACGTTACGATAAATGTGGCAATGTCGAGCTAGTTACTTAGAGAACCACTTAGGGGTATATGGGATATTTCAGATATTTTTAAGTAGCGATCGTTCGTTAAGAACGACGCACGCGTGCGACGCGAATACGCGCATCACTCGGATCGAGGTAAGTAATCGACGCGTCTCGATCGAAAAACCGGCTGGCCGACGAAAAGCTGCCGCGATCCCATCGTAACCGAGTTCGGTCGAGATTTCGATCGCTCGTCGAACCGAACAACTGTATTATATTGAGCGCGAGTCGCGTTATCGTTGGATGTACGTATGTAGGTCGAAAAGATATCTATGCAAAGTTATGTATAAAGGCGCGAAACATTTATATAAATACATAAATAAATACGATTATAAATATAAACAGAACTGCGACTATAATTACGGATAATCGGAAGATCGAGGAAACCGAAGTGGAGCACGAGCAAACTATGTTTTCCGGTAAGTATTGTTTGTGAAACCGATACAGCGAGGTCCGCGATCGAACGTATTAGTGATCCCTTCGAAAGACATTGAGCAAATCGACTCCACGAGATCGACGAGCTCGACGATTTCAACGATCGGACGTTACCAGAGGGAAAAAAGCGCGGCGACTTGTTCGCGTGGTCTCTTGCTCGATTGAAAGTCCGGGGTTCGCGCGTTTCGCGACCGCGAAGCCCGATCATTCCTGCACGAGCGTATTTCAATATAAACAATCGCCGAGCAAATTTTCCCCGACGCACGGCAGTGATTTCTGGCCGACGCGCGACGTGACGGCGATCCCTCCGTCTGCGAGCGCGACCCCGGCTGCCCTCGATCGAGGAACGCGACTCGTTGCGATCCTTCTTCATCGTCCGTTTCGTTCGTTCGTAGCCCAACCATTCCGCTGATCCATCCGCTGGTTCATCTTCCATCGTGCTGCACCTGAATTCGCTATCTCGTCTCTTCTTCCTCTCCATTCGCCCCACCTTTCTTTGCCTTGCTTTTCCGCATTTCTCGCGAATCGATCGGCGAACCGATCTCGAAGTTACATTCACACCAACATTTTTGGGTGGACGCACGAGTGTTCGTGTATATGGACGCCACCCTTTGGATCGGTTTGTTCGTGGTTGAGTCTCGTTGCGGCGTCCCGAGTTCCCGCGAACCACGCATAAATCGCGGATAAATCACGAGCGAGACTGGGCTGGCGCGCAAGGAAAGGCAAAAACTACGGTCGGGGTGGGTCGCCGCGAAAGATCGCGAACGATGCCACCGGGCGTAGACCGACGGGACAGCCGGATGCTTAGAATTTCGATAAATCTAGCTTGGCAGGCGAAACAAACGAACGGAGAAAGCGAGAAGAGGAGATTTTTTTCGGGCGTTACGCAGCTTTGGCCGCCGTTCAAAAATTCCGATTCTTTGCTCGACGCTGTAAACGTTTTACGCGCGGGTTTCGCGTTCCACCGATCCAGTACGGACGAAATCGAATCGAGATCCAAGCGGTTAAGTTCGTCCCTAAGGAGTTGCATGGACAAAGGAGGGTGGTACGGGTAAACGATCGTCGACGTTCCGGTTCGAAAGAGCGAACGGACACGAAGATTCATCGCGGGGCAACGTTATCGGTGCGCTCACGTGTCAGCGATCACCGCGGAGGACCATTTCCGGCGAGGAAAGTTTGGAATCGTGGCATTCGTGGCCCCTCGAGCCGGTCACCATGGAAAATGGGGAAGAGATTTTGGAGCGGATCCAGCACCGACCCGGTACCTTTCGGTGCAAGTTTGCTTCGTTCGAAACCGATGCAACGCGACGTACTTATTCCTCCGCTTTATCGTTTCTCTGGAGAAGATACGATCGCGGACGCTGCCCCGATGACCGCCCCTGCATTCAACTTTCCGCGACTACATATACCTATATAGGTACCTTATGTAATCGATATATATAATATGATATGTAGGTACCTATACACAATCGTGTCGTATCCGATTTCTGTTTGTATTTGTTGAGACACGTAATTCGCGAAGACCCCACGTCCATTAACGGACAATTTGTACGATCCGGAGTGTCGACGAGCCATCTTCCCGTCTTGTTTCGCGGTAACACGGGGACGATTGAAAATAGACAGAGAACCGCACTCGCGCTACGAGAGCTACGTTCGTCAACCCGAAATAAAACGAACGGTACAGTCAAGTTCGGTAGCCCAGAAAGATGAGCTCGTCGTCGCCTCCTTCTCCGATCGATCGACCGATTAAACGGCCGTTTCCGACGATCAAAGGGAACGCGCCCCGGTAAACCGGGCTCCGTGTCTTCCGTTCCTTGATGGAGTAATGCGCGTT